ATAAAATTCCTTCACAGGATAAGTAAATCCCGGTATATGTATCATGGGACAATTGTTAAAATATTTCGAAAAGCTTTCAGCATTTAATGTTGCACTCATTAAGAGAACTTTTAAATCTATTCTCTAGAAAATAAATTCGAAAAAAATACAAATTAATTTACAAAACATGATTTAATGACTTGTATATAAAAATATATATTACAAAAATGTTTAAAAAATAATAAGAAAAATATATATCTAAACTCCTTGAAATAACATAGAACAGTAAAATACTAAAATGTATTTCTAAATAAAGATATACATTAAGATACATATATATACGTGTATATATTAAAAAAAAAATATATATATATATATATTCCGTGTATGTAGTAACGTTATTGTAATAACAACATGGCATCATTAAAACTTACTTTCGGAATAACTTGTTTTAATAATGTAATAACGAAATCACTTTCTGTAGTACGTTCATGAATTTCATCCAGTATTACATGAGAGAAACCTTTTAATGCTGGATCATGTTTCATAAATTGTAGTAATATACCAGTAGTACAAAATAATATACTTCCATGATCTCGTGATGGCTGTCTGTAGACAAAAGTATAGAAAGTAAAAGAACATTATACACCTATAAACTATTATACATATAATATAGACAAATTTACTTTTCAAGTCGTATCTGATAGCCAACAGAATTTCCAAGATTTTCTCCTCTTTCCACAGCTACACGTTCAGCAACAGAAAGGGCTGAAATCCTTCTAGGCTGCGTGCAAATTATTCGAGTAACGCTGCCGTTTCCAGTTTCTAATTCATCATCCAATATAAATTGTGGAATCTGTGTAGTTTTGCCACATCCTAAAATTTTTTTTTAAATCATTAAAAATAACTTATTAATTATTAATTAGAATTGGAAATTTGAACAATTTGAAAATTGCTTCAGCACATGTTTAATGTTTACGATTAAATTTCTTTTACTGACTCACTACATTGCTCCAATAAATGCAGATAAATAAAAAAAATAATCAGAAAAATATTCCATCTTATATTAATAAATAACTTTTGCTACTTACCAGTTTCTCCACTAATGACAACAACTTGATTATCTTCAATCAATTGTAATATTTCTGATCTTTTTTTATATGCTGGTAACTTTATTCGAAACTTCAACATATTATTATAAACATCTTGATTATGCTTTTGTCTGTAATCATTTTGTAATATTCTGTCTATATCACTATTTCTTTGCAACTTTGAAGTTACATTCATAGCCTTGGCAAGATTTTGCTGTATATTACCGTGTATAATTTCCAAAAACTTTCTTTTAAATTGAGTGTCATGAAATTGATGATACTTGTTACCTTGCTCAGATTCAAAACTTGTACAGAAAACTGGATTGTAATATTTCTCTGCCTTATTTAACATAGCCTTAATTGATTGCTGTATATAAGGTGACAATGTAAGAACTTCTGGAGCTTTTAAGAACTTTTGTTTTTGTCTCTCTCTATTTTTGTTTCTATAATACATTCCTATTTCTTTTCCTCTTAGTCCAGGAGGTCTTTGTGCTTGTGAGTAAGTTCTTCCATTTCCAGATGTAGATTGTATTTGTTCTAAAAAATTCATGGTAATTTTGAGAGATTTCATTTTTTCTTTAAATTTTATCTGTTATTTAACAATACATACTCTAAAACCCGATGTCCATAACGCTAGAAATTGGTCCGAGATCTCAAACAGAGAATTAACACATCACATTTGAACAATTTGATCACATAACCATTGCGATTGATCAATTCTTTCTTCATTTGAAGTCTCAGATCGATTTCTAGCATCATGGACACAAGGTTAAAAAAATAGCAATTATTAAGGTGAAATATCAATCCGTTCAAAGCAAGAGTGTTTAAAAATTAACAGATTTTGAAAAAGCAAAATTAAAAGCGAATACAAAGTATTCAAGTTTTGTTTGCGTTTTGATCAGCACAATATTTAATAAAAAAATAGAAAATAAAATAAAAAAATAATACACGTATTTTTGAATTATTTTTTAAACAACTGAACATCTTATTAAAAATAGATATTACAGACTGATTTAAGATATTTTTCTAATGCTTATTTTTAAAAAGCCTCTCACAATAATTAAGTTTATGAAAAAAATATTCAAGGATTTATGGCTCTGCTTAAGAACATCTTTATACACACACACACACACACACACACACACACACACACACACACACACACACACACACACACACACACACACGTGTAATATATAAATGTATATATACATAAATTCTAGATCATTTCTAAAAATTTTATTCAATAAATAAAAGGAATTATCATAGATCTAAAATATTACACATGTACAACAAAATATAATATTGTTCATTAATATGAACAGCAATTATTACAAAAATATTCTATGGAAACAATTCCGTCATTAATTTGCTAAATTATATCAAAATAAAGAATCTTATAAGAAATGAAATATTCAAAGTATAATGGAATATAATTTAGATTACTATATATTATATATAAAAAATCAAATTATAATCATTTATAAATAATCAGTCTTTCTTAATACAGATTGTTAATCACAAGTAATTTATAACAGAAGATTCAAATAAAAACACATATAAGTGTTTATGAACCATGTCCTTGCTGATTGTTTCTCCAGATTAATTGTACTAAAAATGAAAGAAAAAAGGTGACAAAAAACATTCGTACAAAAATAGGACAAATGATTTTAGAAATGAGTTTAAAAATGAGTTTATTCGAGGAATTTCGATCTTACCGTCTCTACCATGTCGTGTGTAGGAGCAAGACATGCCTCTAGACATACCTCGTCGGTGCATTTTGAAAAAAATGAAGCATTTATTAATATTAGGACATTGATTTTAATCTTTAAACCCCTCACAGTGATCAAGCAATGCCAGTTTCAACCACAGACTTCTATATATACTAGCCTGCTAACTCCTCACTTTTTCTTCATACCATTCTATGCCAGAGAGAATCAAGGAAGAGTAGAGCGGATTCTCTTTTCTGATTGGTACCGTCCATTTATAGTGCACTTCCGCAAATGCGTATATGTATATATGTATATATGTACAAAAGCCACTGAGCGCTTAATGAGCGATCGTGCTTCTGGAATATTCTAGAATCTGGATGCACCTAATGAGCGCTTCAAATTGGCAAAGCAGCTAGGTTGTTCGCCAAGCAAATGAATACGATTGGTTATTACTTATAGATCCAACCAATCACATTCAATCGCTCGGCGAGCAGGCTAATCATTTTGTCCGGTTTGAACGCACTCAATGTTTTTATCCACGATCCATCTGTTTCCACAAGCAAATTTGAGGTTATGCAAAAATTAGATGAAAGTTAAGAAAACCCCTTCCACCTCAAATTTTAATAAAAATATACTTAATCGATGCGTTTTTCCATGAAATGAAGGAATCTGACAGAAAAAAGTGTCGCTCTACCTCGCGAATCGAGGTATTAAGCGTTAAAGTTGACGACTATTTAGGTTAGGAACGCACTGCGGTCACATTTTCATGTCCTATGGCCACGCACGCATGCATTTTAGGTTCTACAATAAATTCTCTGATTTACAAACACAAAGAATTAATACTTTAAAAACAAATTCTACAACATAAAATTTGTTTTGAAGCACTAAATTTATTCGCGGGATGTAATTGTTGTAAATACTTTATGTGATTTTATATTATTTAATGTTTCAGATTTTCCTAAAGGGAAATTAAAACGATGATGTTGCCTTTTGAGATGTTAAATATTGCAAGCAGAAACATTTCTACTTCAACCTCTGTGAGTCAGGTAATTTGAGTTGATTGAGAGTAGTGGATTGGGAGTAGTCATAATAACGAGATAGGAAGGCAAGCTGATAGAGGATAGACCATCACATTGTATGCACGTTTACAAGCGTGAGATGGGATACATTGGTGAGACAGTAAATGAAAGACTACATAAAAGATATTATCATTTTATACAATCAAATTTATCTAAACATTGCTGTACGAATTATTCAGGTGATAGAATTGTAGCTACTATAAGGGGTGAAAAGAAAAAAGGTATCCTGATTGGATTAAAACAGCAACAGATCCTTAAAGTCTGATAGCAACAATCTGGTACTCATAGATAACGACATACCTCTAGATACAAGAATACAGATGTCTATTCTATACATTCCGAACAAAAATGAAAGAACAGACTGACAGCAAAGGAGCAGATTATACTAAACTAATAGCGATTGCATCCAGATTCATACAGTGTACCTATTTTGCTTACTATTCTAATATATGTATTAAATATTTCATTAAAATATTAATTGTATTTATTTAGTATTTACCGCAAAACTTGTAGTATGGAAGCGTATTCATGCATCTTTGTGTATTTTATTGTATATTATTATTTTAATAATAAAATTATCACACATTCAAATCTATTTTTTGTTATATATATACACTAGGGTTATGTTCCACTTCACATACGTTTGTAATGTCGCGTCATATCATCTCATTCTTGTTTAGTTTGATGATAAGAAGGATGAAATGATATCGCGTATCCTATGTATGTGTATGCTGTGATTTTAGTACGCAAGTATAGCGCTCGCAAGTGTAACTTTAGTTCAATTATCAACCATGTGATGTCTATCACTTTATATTTAAGCGATTATTTAAATTAATTGTCGAAGTTATATTATGTCTACGTTAAGATTCATGATATTTTTGCTAAAATTTTAGCAAATTGCATAACTTTAATTCTTCGCCTTTTAATAGAATTTATTATCAAATTTATCTTCATCGAATTCGGAAATCAAATTACAATGTGAATAATCCTTCAGTTCCCGAAAGCACTTGTTTTCGAAACGATTCCTATGTAAGAATAGAATATAGATGAGCATTTCGGATCCTCTAGGATCTAATAGTCTGATACTGGTGAAGAAAGGGCTTGCTATCTCTAATCTGGTAAGTTAAGATACGTCAGCATTTAATTATCAAAATCTTTATTCAATAGTTTCTACAGGTTTAGATATAAAAACTGGTTCCAGCATAGTAGTCTCGTGTTTCAAGTTAAAAAAAAAAAAAAGACTTGAGTGGTATTCATAATCGGGTCTACAGAATAATCTTAAGTAATGTTTTAAAATATCCACGGAGCACCAACCAAAGATTATAAAACATTACTTAAGAATCTTCTGACTGACTATGAATATTGGGCATGTCACAAAAAAACAATGTACAAGTAATTTAATTAGGAAGTAAACATATTAGTCAATAAGATTTTCAGTAATATAATTTATATATAAGACACAAATTGGAATCCTGGATCACAAAAATAACTGTCCCAGCCAACATTTCAGGTCACAATTGATCCAATAGATGATGGTTTCAAATGGCTATTCAGAATTGTCCAATAGTAGCTATACATCTCAACCACTAGCCAATCTGCCGAATATGCCTTGCCAATTCCAATTTGTAATATAAATTAAGAACTGTCTGTGATATTTATTTATAAGTAAGTTGAGGCAGGGACACTTAAGCAATAATAACCTGAAACAATAATAATTTAATTATTGATTAATGAAGTTTAGGGACTTGAATGTAAATACTTGTATATAATAACAATAATGGAACTGCTTGTGGTGCGATATTCAACACTGCTAATACTGAGATCTGTAGTGTAGTCACCTGTGCTATAGATCAGTGAATGTAAAAACAAAGCCATGTAAATAGTATTCTTAGTTAATTCTAGATTTCTGACAGAATTACTACTTACCACAGACTTACTATGTTGAAAACATTAATTTGACGTCACGATACAGTTAACAAGAGCCATAGGATAGCAAGCGCTCGACAGGCACTATGTAGTGCTTATTCAACCAGTAACGTTGACTACTTTTTTGCAAAAACATAGTTGCGTTTAACATAACGCAACAGTTTTGCAAAAATTTTTATGATCTAACAACTCCAAATCTCGCGACACGTGCTAACACGTTTTTACTTAAGAGTCGCCATGATCGCCATCATGATGGAAAGAAGGACGAGTCATTCCTCCCTCGACACACTATAGTGGAGGAAACTATGGGGGAAGGAAACCATGGAGGAAAGAAATTATGGAGGAAGGAAATCATCATAGACTGATGGACAATGAACAGGTACCACAGTCGGTATCATCAGCTCGATTATCACAATCGGTATTTGCGTAGCGATTGATAAATACGTGGAATTACCGAAAGATAGAAAGCTTTAAAATCTTGCGAATGTCCACGAGAGATCAATTTCTCACTTGGTCGTCGTTTCGATCGCGGAAGAACGCGTATGGATTCCATGAAGTCACATGGAAGCTAACAAAATTCATGGTATTGAATGAAAATATTCGATAAAATTTTGTTTGTCTCTATTTGAGAACTCACAGATTTCACGTTTTACATTTTACTCATTTTTACTTCAATTTATTTAATTTTTCTTATCGTAAATTAAACAAATTTATCGTTATCATTAAGAAGTGGCACGATTAGTTAGAAATTAAACTGTGCGACGGAAAGATTAACCAACAAAGCAGTTGACATTTTTGTGCGACGGCGTGTACTGCATGCAAAATTTGATGTTGGGAGTTGTATTTATATATGCAAAGTTTGATAGAATTAATAAACATTTTCAGAGCTGATTCCAATTTGCTGATTTTCATCAGTGACTAATAACAAATATTTGGGAATATATTTATGTCGTGATTACATTGAAAAAAGAGCGTAACCATGTCGGAACTAGATAAAAAATCTAACGAACCATATCGTCAATTAGAAGAATCACATGGTGCCGAGTTAAATGTTGGCGCACAAAGTACGTCGAGTTGTCCTACGAGCTTGGATAATGCCATTGAAGGGTCGATGGAACTTTCCTCCGTTGTAGTTATACCTGATGGTATGTTACATCAAACTGAAATCTCTTATAAATATGTAAATGGTATAGAAGTAATATATTGCAGTGTTTAATTATATGCCGTGTTCTAATTGTACAGAAGGGTTTACTTAACTTTAATGCAAAAGAGGACCATATACTGTAAATATTTAATATCGCATGATAACATAACACAACACTGGGAAAACTGGTTTTACTAATGACTACGTTAAGTTGTGGTAACATGGAACGCTGTAAAGTATCTTTAACAACAGTGTACATTAGACATGCATGTGTAAAAGGAATTAGGTGTGTATATTTTTCATAAACTTTATGCTAGAATAAAATGTGTCATCTGACACATTTAAAGAAGAGAACAATATGCTTTTATACATATGTGCGAATATGAAGTATCATGAAATAAATATGAATGTAAAATATCTCAGTTTAGTAATAGGAATGTAACAAATGCGAAATTATATTAAATTAAATCTTATTGACAGATACCTTTACTGTGGTACAAGCTATCAATGCATTAGGCTTTGGAAAATTCCAAGTAAAATTGTCTCTATTCACGGGTCTTTGTTGGATGGTAGATAGTATGGAGATCACGATACTTAGTATTCTAAGTCCATCCTTACATTGTGATTGGGGTATTTCTAGATACCAACAAGCACTGACTACAACGGTATTTTTTGGATTTGTATTATTATCTTTGTAAAATAATGTGATAATACTTGAGTTTATTATTATGAAAATTGAACTTTTAGGTAGTATTTCTTGGTATGATGTTAAGCTCCATTTTTTGGAATAATTTAAGCGACAGATACGGTCGTAAGCAAGCTTTAACTTTGTGTGCAGTATTATTGGCCTATTATGCATTTCTAAGTTCATTTGCACCAAATTTTCTCTGGATCCTATTGCTTAGAGGAGTTGTAGGATTTGCTATTGGTTGTGTACCACAATCGTAAGTATTTGGTAAGTTTCTTAAAGATGAACAATTAATTTGCTTTGAAACTTGTCATTGATGCATACTCTTTTTTTACAGGGTGACATTGTATGCAGAATTTTTGCCAGCAAAACAACGGGCAAGATGTGTTATTTTACTGGATGTAAGTTTACATTATAAGTATTTGGATTAATACACATCATAGTATTAAACACAGTACAAGATATATATGTTATACTTATTATAGTGTTTTTGGGCTCTTGGAGCTTGTTTTGAAGTGGCGATTGCATTAATCGTTATGCCCAATTTTGGATGGAGATGGCTTCTTATATTATCGTCCATTCCATTATTTATATTTGCTGTAATAACTCCGGTTTGTAATAAATTTAGATATTTTTAAGTATATCATTTATTTAGAAATACTTTAGAAATTATATTAAATAATTTTATATATTTGCAGTGGCTGCCAGAATCTACAGTATTTGATATGACAACTGGAAAAACAGATCGTGCAATTTCAACATTAGAACGTGTGGCTAGAGAAAATAAAAAATCATTGCCTGTAGGAAGACTAGTTATGGATAGATTTTATCAAGGTCATCATGGTCGATTTAAAGATGTTCTGAGTAAAGAAATGTACAGAACGTCTGCTTTACTTTGGCTTGTATGGTAAATAACAAACTAAATATAAAAATATTAACTTTATCTCAATATATTTGCAATTTTAGTATAATGTTCGCAAATAAAATATATTCGTAATATTTACGATCTAAATATGTATTATTACATATTTTACAGGATGAGTACAGCGTTCTGTTACTATGGAGTGGTATTAATGACAACTGAACTTTTTCATACATCCTCGGAGCAATGTAGCACATGGAGTACGAACAACAATGAAGGTACATGCCAACTTGACTGTCGATTGCGGCGTAGTGATTACATCGATCTACTTTGGACAACATTAGCGGAATTTCCTGGCATATTTTCTACTGTTTTCGCGATCGAGAAAATAGGCAGACGAAAGACAATGGCTTGCCAGTTAGTCATGTTCGCCATGGTAGTTTGCTTCTTAAGCAGGACCTGTTTGTTGAGTAGAGCGGTGTTGACCATTGCCATTTTCCTAGCCAGAGGTTTAATTGCCGGTGTATTTCAAGCTGCGTACGTATACACGCCAGAAGTATACCCTACACATTTACGAAGCATAGGTGTAAGTGCGTGTAGCGCTATGGCACGAATCGGTGCTATGATCACTCCATACATAGCGCAAGTATTTTTACAATGGTCCATCACTGGAGCCATGATCACTTATGCGACAACCGCTTTATGTGCTGCAATTGCTACGCTTGTACTTCCCGTGGAGACCAAGAATCAACAATCAAATGATGCAAGTCACGAAAATAGATAGACATCTCTGTAACGAAATATCTTAGTATATTGACCGAAAATTACTACTCTGTCGCATTATTTAGAATACTTTTATTATATATTACGATATAAACAATATTAAGAATCTTTATTTATTACGATATGTAATAACAGACGTATATACACAGACAATTCTTGATTGATTGAGAACTTGTCTTGTGTATTTATACACGACCATATATGCGAACACGCAGCTTTAGTCATTTTTATTAATATTTTTAATTTATTATTTAATCAAGTGGACATATCTTTATTGTAAGTTATCGTATTATATATAATACGTATATATAAATATAAATATATATATATATATATATATATATA